CAGGGTGAAACCAAAGGAAAGTAATCAGGAAGGTTGCCCAGTCAATGCTGGGCATAAGTAAAGCTCTAAGGGGTGAGGTATCAGGGTGTTGTGAAGGACCTGTACATGGTAACCCCGCACAGTCTCCAAAGTTGTTTGGCAGAAATTCACTGAAGTACTGTGGGACATGTAAAATTGGAGACTTAGAGAGGGTCCAAGGGATTAAGGGTTGAGGACAGTGGGTACCATGTTTTATCTCTGCAGGGGAGGGGAGAGATGCCAGGCAACACTTTCTGTGCCACCTGGTGTAGACTTCACGTCTTTTCTAAATTTTAATTGCCTCACTCCCCCTATCCTAGAGTGAGCATGTCATCATGGCTATAATTTCTCTACAAAAATTACCTTAGGAAACAAAAGCTTGGGGCATTTTTTTTTTCAATACAGAGATGAGCCCCTCATGTTCTGTAGCAGCTGTATAGCAGTCCTCAGGGTTATATAGATATGGAGTTACATCTGGACATCCCATTAGCTCTAAGAGGTTCAAGACAGCAGGCCTAATATTCCAGTGCCAAAAAAGAGGTTCTACAAAGGTCGATTACTCCAAGTACAAGAGCCCTGTGCCACCAGAGACCTGTGAATAGAATGCTTTTCTTAAACTGGGTGTCAGGTCTCTCATTTCTAAATACACTGTCAGATATGCTCTTTTTATTTTGTAAAAGGTAAGCTTCAAACATACTCTTTTTACTAATGGAAGCACTGAATCAAGATTCATCTTAGCTCTTGGGTTATTAGCCCTGACCAGCCTTTCATACAGAGCTGGTTTTTTATCCAAACATAACCCTTCTGTCAACATCATCATCATCTGTTTGCTTATACTCCAAAATCTCATATTACACACTTTCAGCATCATTACCCCAAATTGGAGAATTTCAGGCAGAATCATCTGTGAAAATATTAGAGGTAAAAATAAGCTATTATAGGGTGTTGATGTCACCCTGAGGCCTTGTTTGCTACTTTTCAGCTCATTTTACTGCATTTAACCCACGAGAAAAGGAACTAAACTATAATCAACTGCGATTTATCAGTGTTAATGGAGGAGAGACGAGGCATTGGCAATACAAGATAGCAAATAATAAGAGATGAATGCAAGAAAAAGACAACATATGCATACTTTAAAAAAGATTATAAATGTGTAAATATCTGCCCTAATAATGTTGCAATTCAACTGGATGTTCTGTGGTCTGGGAAGAGGAAAGAGGTAGAGCAAGATTACCTAGGGTTGCTGTGCATTTTGGTCATTGGCAAATGCAGGGGAAGCTGTGTTAGAAAGCACAACAAGCAGAAAATTGAGAGCTGATTTGCCGCCAACTACAATTGAAAACAGATGGGTATATCTGAGCCGTGTTCACGTATCTTGTTCATTTTCTCATTAAAAAAATTGCTGCACTATTTTTAGTCTATGACTTATTTTTCTGCAAGAATCACCTGCAAGTAGATCTTACTTTTCTGCTGAACTTCAGGGAAAATTCAAGTTCAGCATGGCCTTCAACTTTGACTCTTACAGAAATGGACAAAAAGGTTGGCAGGTGTCAGTCTGATGAAGGGGCTGAGATCTTGACTGCCCTTGAGGGACACCAGATGAGATGGCTGTGGAATGGGTTGTGCTGCTTGTTGAAGGAAGGCAGCATTGTTTGTAGCTTGACATCTCATTTCTGTAGGAAGGCATGGATCATTTTACTAGACCCTGTGAATAAGTCAAAATAAATCAAGATCTGCATCAGAACCAAAATCTCGATTACTTTTTTTGTCAGTTTTGCTTAGGCTGTATATATACATAAATGGGAAAAAAGGGCAGACACAGAACGTCAAAGAAATCAGCTCTTTATATTTTAATTGCAGCCAAAAAAAAAAAATCAGCTATATAGGAGCTTATGGTTTTAATGACTCTCAATGTGAGACAAATGTAGGCATTCTCACTGAGTTTCTCTCTTTCTAAGATGTCATTTCCTCCCTGTCCTTAACTGTCACGTGTTGTATCATGTTGACCCATGATATACTCTTCACCCTTGAAAGCTCATACTCCAGAGATTCATAGTTTCTTAATATTTGTTTTGTAAAGTGCCACCTTCCAAGATGCAGTCCTTGCTCTAGCCAATTAGCTAGTTCACTGGCTCATGAAAAGCTGCAATGCTTCTAGAAGCAATAAAATTAAAGCCACAGCACTCTCTTAAAAAGGCAGGGAGAAGTGGCAGGGCTTTCTGTTGTTGCTGTTGTCCTTGTGAACTGTCCTTCATGTTTGAGAAGCAGGGGCTGTCAGGAGCTTTACTGTACCCTTTGATGTATGAAGAATCCAATTTAGAGCTTAGTCTGTGCACATTTTCCAGTGACTAAGCCAGTCATTTGGGTTAGGGGAGTGATATTTCTAAAGAGGTCTTGACAGCAGAGTTTTTTTGTTTTGTTTTGTTTTTTGCCTTGATAAGTGTGAAAGAAACTGGTTAGTTCTTAACCAAAGCCATTTTATCTTCCCTCTGAGCCCAGAGTTAAATTATTTTCCAGCCCTGTTGTGGTGAGGTGTGGCCACGTGACTGAGATCTGACTGATGGAATGTGCTAAGAGTCGTGTTCACGTCTCTTGGCTTGGCTCATAAAAACTTCACAGTATGGCCCCCCATGGTCTTTCCCCTCTGGCTTGATACAGACAAGTGTAGTAACCTGAGGAACTTGGCATTGGAGATGACGAAGCTGTGAGGCAGAAGGAGCCTGGGTCCCTAAGTCACTGGAGATCTGCCCTCTGATAGGGAATAACGTTTGTGAACAAAATGCATATCTATTCTCTGAAGCCACTAAGATTTATCATTTTATCTGTTATATCTTTAGCTAGTTCTTCCTTACCTAAAACATTGAACCAGTATATGCATATATTTAATGTGTACTGAAATTATATTTGATTCATAGTGGCAAGCCATTTTAGATTCACCTTTGTTAAAACAAACAAAGGTCTATGTATTAATATTTACAAGAGTCATTTATTTCAAATCTTTGAAAGACACAAGATTTCTAAAAGTCAGTTAATGTTAGTGATCAGAAGCCTTCCATGTGTGAAGCACTTTTAAGGGTATTGGGTAGGGATGATAGGCATAGATAAAGGTTGATGAGCTGTCTAACTGAAGAGGAAAAATAAACCTACACGAATATACTAAAGAAACAAATGAAAACAAGGATAAGTGAATAAAGTACATACATCATGTAAATTAATGTTCAGAACTCAAAGCACATTGTTATAAGAGGGGCTAAGGAGTTTTGAGACTTGCCAAATATTGCCTGAAAAGTTTGAAGCTAACTCAAGGTGAGGAATCAGCACTTGAACTCATGGAGCTAACTTGATTTTGGTTTCCTTCTGAGGCTGCCTCAGGCTTGGGGGACACAGAAAAGGATGGATGACAGTGACAGTGAGAGTAACATTGTTTTCTACCCAAGGCCTCACCCTGGAGGGTGTCTTCCTGGAGATTTTAAAAGCTAGACTCCTGAAATATACCTTAGTCCTTTTAAGTTGCCTGTGTAGAAAAAATTGAATGCCACTCACATGAGAAAAGCAAAGGTGATTTATTCAGCGCTTGCCATAGCAAGGGAGTTGGCCACCATCACTTTCATTTGGCAGAGACTCAAAGGTAGGCAGGGGAGTGGGAGAGCATTACAGTGGGCAAAAGGGATGGTTTCAGGTGTGCCCTTATTGGAAGCTGTTGGCCTGGGGAAGCCCAGGGTGGCCAACCTGGAGCACAGAAGCCTATCTGATTGGTTGGGGCCATAGTTGGCTTTCTCTGGTTGGTCCTAAATTAGAAGCAGGCACAAAAATTAGGGAGGCCGTCAGTTACTGTGATGGTTAATTTTATGTGTCAACTTGACTGGGCTAAGAGGTGCCCAGATAGCTTGTAATAGATTATTTCTGGGTGTGTCTGTGAGGGTTTTACTGGAAGAGATTAGCATTTGAATGAGACGACTGAGTAAAGAAGATCACCCTCACCCACATGGGCATCATCTGATTTCTTGACGGCCCAAATAGAACAAAAGAACACAGAAAGTTCTCTCTTCTGGGACATCCATCTTTTCCTGCCCTTAAACATCAGAGCTTCTGGTTCTCAGGCCTTTGGATTCCAGGACTTACTCCAGCAGTTGGCAGGTGGGGAAGGCTCCCCTGGTTCTTAGGCCTTCAGCTTTTGACTGAATTATACAACCACCACCACCTTGGTTCCCCAGGTTGCAGATGGCATATCATGGGACTGCTCAGCCTGCATAGTGGCATGAGTCAATTTCCATAATAAATATCCACATATATATGTATGTATGTGTGTACAGGCATACATGTATATGTAATACATATGTAATATATATGTGTGTGTATACATATATATATGTAATATATGTATTGGTCCTTATTGGTCCTATTTCTTTGGAGATTCCTGACTAATACAATTATTAAGTCCTGAACATTTTGGGTCTTTTGTTACAGAAGTTATTGTTCAGCTTCCTGGGTTATCACTAAAGATAGCAGACTAGCTTCCTGCAAGTCTGGCTTTAGCAGGCTGTCTTCCTGGGCTGTTTATCATAGATAAGGGGCTTGGTTTCCTAAGCAGGCTGCTGCAGATTTAGGGTGATAGTTCTTTTCTTATTAGATGGTCCAGGGATTGTGCATTTATACATTCAGTCTGTCATTTGTTTCTTCATTTTCATGATGATTTTATTTTAAATAGACTCTTTCCGTCCTTCCTTGCAGAGGACAGCTGACTGGCTTCCTTCACTTTCATATTAATAAGCCTCCATCCTTGCTGATCATAAACCTGTACCTGAGGATGAGTGCCAGGAAATTCAATGCCCTCCTTACCTGGGAGTGAGCCCTCTGCCCTTCTGGGTTACCTCTTCCAGAGATTTGGGGGTAAAATTTATGTCTGCATTATTGCCTTCCTGAAAGTCTTAATCCCATCAGTCCTCAACATCTTTTTCACTGTTTCTGTTTTTCCCAGGGGCAGTGGCATCCTCATGCAAGCTGGTCTACTGGTGGCTGCCCCACTGACCTGCTTCTGAATGGACAGGCAGGAAAGGTCTCCCACTGTGTTGCATTTAAAGAAAAGAAAAAGATGAATGAAGTAAAAAACTCTGCAAACAACTGAGTGTAATTATTGGGTATGTATACATTTATGCATATTTTCCTTTTTGAATCTGTTGATTTATTGCTTTTTAAATGAAAAATGGATCTGTCCAAAAGGTGAAAATAAAGGATTTTGTATTTCTTTCTTCTTTCAGCTGTTTTAGCCTAAGAACAGAAAACCCCCAGCCCGTTTAGTATTCTAGGCATTTAAAAGACCCTCAAGTATCAGCTCTTTGGAAGCCCAGTGTTTTTAAATTTGCAGAATAGACAGGGCAAGATGCCATGTTTCCAACTCCCCGGGACTCATTTCAGGAGTTTGATTAACTCTTTGGTTTGTCGCAGCAAAGGGAGGCTGAAGCTGAAGTGTCCGCTTAGAAGAAGAGGTAGGGGGCATTCAGATGAGGGCTGTTGTCTGCCAAGATCAAAGCAGCACTGCACATGCTAAAGGGTCTAATTCACAGACCTTCGGTGCTTAGTTGTAACACCAACTTGAAGCCTATTTGGTCAGAAGTGGCCACTTGAGCCGTCTTAGGGCTAGGCAAGGGCTTCTTTGTTTCAGACAGCACTTCCCACTGGGAGAGGGGAATGTGAAGTGAGGGAGCCCTCTTTTGGAGGAGGAAGGCTAAGGAGGAAAAGTGAGGGAGAGTGGGAAAGACCGCAGGGCAAGAAGATCTAAGCCAAGGGAGCCTTGTTTGCCTTTACTGGCAGGTAGGTACTCACGAGCAAGCCAGCCTGCATTTCTGAACTCACATCGTGGGAAAAGCAACAAACACTTTTAAGACAAAAGATAAAGGGTAAACTACCTATGGGAAACACTTTCCTAAAAATGCTTAGATTCTAGGTGACAGGATTAGAATTGTTCTCTTGGTGTTTGGCTAACATAACAGACTCCCAAGACAAGAGCGGAGAGGGCGGAGATGGTTACGTGTCGGCTGGAGCGAAGTGGGAGCAGGAACCTCTTTCTATTTAGGACACAAATCTTTACACAGGGATGACATTTGAAAGACTTGCTCGTGGGCCTGGGCCCACTTCCTTTGCTTTTCAGAGAAGGTCCCAAGATTAGCAGCAAAAGTAATCCAGGTGAAAATAATCCATGAATTTGAACACTTGGTTGGGTGTAGTAGGGAGCTTCTGACAGGTGCCTGATGACCCTATGTCCTGGTACCCACACCTTTGCTTAATCTCCTCCCCTCAAGTGGGAACTGGATATAGTGACTCACTTTTAACGAACAGAATACAGCAGAAGTGCTGGGATGTCATTCTTGGATGACGTTGTACAAGGCTGTGACTTCTATCTGGGTCACCCTCCTTTTTGTATCCTCACTTGCCCACTCTGGTGAAGCCACTGCCACATCGCCAGCTGCCCTGCAGAGAGGCTGTGTGGCAAGGTGCTGAGGGCAGCCTCTGGATGACAGCTGTAAGGAACAGAGGGTCTCAGCCCAACAGTTAGCAAAGAACTGAATTCTGGCAACAACCTTGTGAGTGAGTGTGGAAGTGGCTCCTATTGAGCCTTGAGATGGCTCCAGTCTACTGTCACTGTGATTCAGCAAATGCAAGTCCTAAACCATGGCCAGGTTCCTGAGTTACAGGATATGTGAGATAAAAGTGTTGTTGCTTAGGAGTATTTGTTCCACAGCAATACATAACTAATACACTGAGTTATTATTATTTTACTGCACCTTCTTATCTGCTTTGTGCACCTAGTTGTCTGCTGAGTTCTATAAAGATTCATTCATTAAAATTTCCATCTTTTCCCTCCTCTCCAGTTTTATAGAAACAGTCTATTCCAACAAAAGCTTTAAAATCCCTGGGAAATTATAGGGAAATAAATTAGATGTCCTGACATCTGCAGAATGTCCTCCAGACACTGTCCTCATTACGCTGCCCTTGGTTCTTCCAGTTCATCAAATCTCATTTAGCTGTGCACCAATTAGACTGCCTTTGGCTGGAAGTGACATAAAGCCTGAAAAATAGTGGATTATATAAGCAAATAGCTTATTTTTCTCACAAAAAGTTTGGAGTTGAGTTGTCAAGGATGTTATTCTGTCTAAGTTGATAAACTTTGTTAAAAGTCAGAGAGTATTTTAGGTTTTGTGGGCTGTACCATCTCTGCTGCAATTACTAAATTCTGCCTTTAGAGCACAAAAGCAGCACAGATCATATGTAAACAAATGACTGTGTACCAATAAAACTTTATTTATGGACAATGAAATACAAATTTCATGTTATTTTTATGTCATAAAATATTATACATTAAAAAAATTGCCTGTAACCATTAAAACATGTAAAAGCTATTCTTTTTATAGGCTGTATAAAAACAGGCAAGCTGGATTTGCTGGCCTTTGTATTAGCTTCCTTCCACCTTCCTACATTCTCATCTTCAGTGCATGACTTGGTCTTCATGGGCACATCGTGACTGCTGCTGCTCCATTCACTGTGCTGGCATTTCAGGCAAAGAGAAAGGGGAGGGTGAAAGGAAAAGGAGTGTCGCCTAGATCAGATCAACAAAAGCCTTCCAGAAAACTTCAGCTTAGGTCTCAATAGGCAGAACTATGTTAACTTTTTTAGCTGGGCACATAGCAAACCTGATCAAATTTGGGGTTCTATTAGTAAGGATAGAAAGAATGGATATTGGATAACATCATTCAGATTGTAAGTGGTGAAAGTGGATTTTGAACCTCTAGGCCAGTGATTCTCAATGGGATGATCAACTCTTACCCTTCCCAGGGGGCATTTGGCCACATCTGGAGATACATTTGGTCATCACAGCTGGTGTGTGTGGGTGCTACTGGCATCTCTTAGGTAGAGGCCAGGGATACTGCTAAACATCTGCAATACAGAATTAACCAGCACAAAAGTCAATAGTGATAAGCTTTGGGCAACATAGGGGACTATGTCTCGTAAAAAAAAAAAAAAAGGCCAAGCTTGAAGAACCTTTCTTAGTCCCTCTGCTATTCTCAACTATTTCTTTATCCAGCTCTCAGCTCTTTCTTTATTCAGTTCCCATATATTTTCTGCACGTCTGACGAAGATAATTTAAAGACAAACTGATAATTTTCCAGGTTTCCTCAGGTCTTGTATGCCATTCCGTAATAACTTTAGGAGTAAGTAAAGAATCTAAGAATTAATTACTTGGTTATTCTTGGCTTAGAATTAATTACTTGGTTTTTTAAAGAAGTTAATTGTGGAATAAATACTGTTTAAAACGTAAATGTAATATAATAATAAGAAAACCCCAGAATCTCTCCTCACTTTGATCCAGAGAAAGCAAATGTCTGGGAATGCATGGTGATCCAGAGAAAGCAAATGTCTGGGAATGCATGGTGATCCAGAGAAAGCAAATGTCTGGGAATGCATGGTGATCCAGAGAAAGCAAATTTCTGGGAATGCATGGTGATCCAGAGAAAGCAAATGTCTGGGAATGCATGGTGATCCAGAGAAAGCAAATGTCTGGGAATGCATGGTGATCCAGAGAAAGCAAATGTCTGGGAATGCATGGTGATCCAGAGAAAGCAAATGTCTGGGAATGCATGGTGAAGTTGAAAAGGAATGTTAATGTACCGCTTCAGTGAAAATACCAACATCTCTGGGGGTGGCCTCTACGGGTGGTCACAGTACCAAGGAAGAGAGAAGACAGAGCAGATGCTGACTGGCTTTTCTTAAAGCCTAAAGAACTGGTATTATGTGAAAGAATTAGCAACAACCCTGGAAAAGACGGTGGAGGTGGAGGTATAAGGCCAGAAGAGTATTCTTGAATTTCTTTGGCTAGAAATACACCTCCAAATACACCTGCCAGATGCTATAAAAATCTGAACATCACCGAGGAATATAGTCACCAGATTGTCTAAAGTCAATGCTAAGGAAAAAGTCTTAAAGGCAGCTAGAGAAAAAGGTCAGATTATGTACAAAGGGAACCCCATTAGGCTAACAGCAGACTTTGAGCTCAGCGGAAACCCTATAAGCCAGAAGAGACTGAGGACCTATTTTCAGCATCTTTAAAAAAAAAAAAGAAGAAAGAAACTCCAAACAAGAATTTCATACGCAACCAAATTAAGCTTCATAAGCAAAGGAGAAATAAAATCTTTCTCAGAAAAACAATCACTAACAGAATTTACTACCATTAGATCAGCCTTGCAAGAGATCCTTAAGGCAATTCTAAACATGGAAATGAAGGAGCAACACCTGCTACCACAAAAATCAAACCTAACTACATAATCCACAGACCCTTTGAAGCAACATACAAAAGAAACTACAAAACAACCAGCTGGTAACTTCATAATAAGATCAAAGCCTCACATATCAATATTAACCTTGAATGTAAATGGTCTTAATGCCCCACTTAAAATGCACAGAGTGGCAAGTTGTATTAAAAAAACACCACCACCACCACCACCCATTCATCTGTTGTATTCAAGAAACCCATCTCACACATAACAACACTCACAGACTCAAGGCTGGAGAAAGATCTATCATGCAAACAGAAAACAAAAAAGAGCAGGGGTTGTTATTCTTATATCAGATAAAATAGACTTTAACAACAGTTAAAAAGGGACAAATAATGGCACTACATAATGATAAAGGGTTCAATCCAACAAGATGACATAAGTATCCTAAATATATACACACCCAACATTGGAGCACCCAAGTTCATAAAACAAGTATTTCTAGATCTATGAAAAGACTTAGCCACACAATAATAGTGAGGGACTTGAAACCCTCTGACAGTGTTAGAACATTGAGGCAAACAACTAACAAATAAATTCTGGACTTCAATTTGACACTTGACGAATTGAATCTAAGAGACATCTATGGAACACTCAATCCATCAACCACAGAATACATATTATCCTTATCTGCACATGGAACATACTCTAAGATTGACCACATGCTCAGTCGTAAAGCAAGTCTCAATAAATTCAAAAATTAAAATCATATCAACCATACATTCAGACCACGGTGGAATAAAAATACAAATAAGACTGGGCGCAGTGGCTCACACCTGTAATCCCAGCACTTTGGGAGGCCGAGGGAGATA